TACATACATATATAAATTATAATTAATACTACATACAAAGGGTCCGCAGCATCTCACCCCCCCCCCCTCCTCCCCGCGCGCAGACTACCAGCGTTTGTCGGGGAGTTCATAGCGAGAGCATTCCGGACGCCGCACGTGCAATAACGTGCTTCTACTTGCCACCGGGTCTCAGGAAAGCTATGAGAACTATTATTATATGCTCATCTTTACGCATGTCTTTCGCGGTCTCTCGCATTCTAGACAACCCGCTGGACTGCAGCTGCCTCGGCTGGCTACTGAGTAAGCCGTTCGACGTCCACGGACTTTGCCACGCGCCGGCAGACGTGGCAGGAGAGTGGCTTGAAAACATTGACCCTTCCGACCTTCACTGCCCGGCGGTAAGACGCCAGATCGTACACTAAGGCGACGCATCTCATGATATTGTCGGCTACCAACGGATTTACTACTACGGAGTTGCCCCTCTTACTGGCCACAGCTTATATACGCACGTTTAAGAATGAGCCGAAGTCCTGTTACACTAACAACAATCACTTAATCACTTGCGGCTACCAACCGATACTTCTTGCAGTCGAGCGTATGGAACCTTTAGTAGATGCGAATATTTAGAGATATGCGAGTATGGAATACTTGCTGTTTAGGAGATTTCTGCTTACACAATTACTGGAAGAAACATGTAATATTTTGATAGAATTAAATTTTGAAGTTCAAACAATAAAATTGTATTCCTGAATTTGAAATTAATGTGTTTTTTTTACATTATCCAGCAACACACAGTGAATACATAAACACAAAGTGGTACAGTCTATTTTACCCTATAAAATCCTGAGTAGGACTATAGAGTAACGCAGCTTATACAATACACCTTACGCATACACAGGACATATAATAATATCTACTGTAGCTGATTATTCTGCTCATACGAATTACAAAATTGTCTTTCTTCAGTCTTATCTCTTCCTATTATTCACTGGAAGACACCCGCTTACATCGCACCAAAGGCTTACACAATTAGCTAACTGTAATGTGACATAGGATATATATGTTACATAAAATCAACTGCAGTAAATCAAGTGTATTAAAAAGTACACATAAACGTTTTCAATAATATATTACCTTCTTGATAACACCATCTGATTTACTGAATTTTTACATTTAAACGCTGCACTAGACAGATTATTTTCACCTGGTTTAACGCCCATGCGAATTCTCAGTTACGTGTGTTACGTTGGGATGACGTGCAGCGCAATACAGAATCCACATTACTTAACGAGTTGTACGCTCGTTCATATTTGGTTCATTGTAACTTCAGCTTGCTTGATTTCATGAATGCTGCATTGCATAGATCACGTCTATACGGGTTTTCACCTGTGCGGGATAGGAGATGCAATTTCAAATGGCTTGATATCATGAAAGCTGCTTTATACATACATCACAGTTATATGGGTACTTTCCTGTATGAGTTTTCATGTGCCTGCAGATTCCTATGATATCTGTGAGTCTTGGTTTTAATGAAGCGCGATTAGTTTAATTAATTAGCAAATATGCACGCGCGGTATCGCACATACTAGGCTAATATATACGCGCGGCTATGGGCGGTAGGAAAGTGTAGTATAACTATCATATCTCGCGAACAAGTGGAATTAAATTTCTAGCTATGATAGACACATGTCATAGACATAGCTATAATTTGTGTGAAGACTGAGTTTATTGAAGCGCGAGTAGCTTAATTAATTCGAGACTATGGACGCGCGGTATTGCGCATACTGACGCGTATTTGTATACGCACAGCTATGGGCGGTATAATTATGTGGCGGCCGCCAGATAATTAAGTGGCGGCGTGTCACGGTCTGAAATTACCCCAGCACGTCGTGCGCATGCGTGACGCATGCGCAGTAGCGCTGCGCGTAAAGCGCAGTAGCATTGGGCAAAAAATTGAATTTATCCGAAAAGTCCTATCTGTTGTGAAAATATGTGGCCGAAATGTCCTAGGCCGAAATGTCCATGGCCGAAATGTCCTACATTCAACATCCTCACATCCTCACAACACTGCGTCTATTATAATAATATAGTTACTACACGGACGCGGAAACTTATCAAGTTTGTCGTGCAGGTATTAAGTCATGTTTCGTAGAGAGCATGAATAGCAGTGTGTTGTCTTTGTTGTTGTTGTTGTTGGTGTTGTTGTTGTTGTTGTTGTTGTTGTCGTTGTTGTCGTCGTCGTTATCGTGGCAACGCCGCGGGCCACACTACACAACCAGCACATCCACAAACGACAAACGCTGCGTATAGTTGATTTGTCGATAATGCAGTCACGGCGTCGCGCCGCAGAATTTCCGAGAATAGCGGAGATTAAAGCTCTGTATATATCTAATATGCTCTGTCTATAAGTTAGCTGGTGTGAGCACGTGCAGGAGCGCAGCTGATCGACATTCTGTGGTCGTCCCGGACAGAGACTACGCGCTAGCATGCTGACACAACGCGCCAGAGATTACCAGCATATTGTGTGAATTCGTGAGAAACCGGGAGTAAACGGAAGCTTTCTATGAAACTGTTGCGGTGGGTATAGGGGTCTGACTGCGCTTATACGAGAGATTTATTAGTTTCCTGGGACAGTGAGATTGTTATTATGTTGTCCAGAATACGATGCCACGTAATACAATTACCTTCATTTTCTATCTTGACCTCAAGTCACAACGCTCTCTCAGCCAACTTTTCCGAGAGCAGTTCCTCGCCGCCCCCTGCTCACCAGGACCTCACTAGCTAAACAGCTACGAAGCTTTTAAATCAGCAGCTTGTGTGACCAAGGGTCCATTGTTTCATATGTATAAAACAACACGTGTTTTGTGCAGTTTATTGCACTGATTTTGCAGAAATTGCGTTTTTTTCCATAACATTTTTCTGCTTTGTGGCGAATTTTTTTCCATAACATTTTTTCTAGCCAAATTTAGGGCATCCGTCTTCACACCTCAATCGCACAAGGTCACAGAAGATTTGCAGACTTGTATAGATTATAACCTGTTCTAAGGCATATATAGTCATTGAGTGTGTACGCTTCTAATATTGATGCTGTTATACATAAGCTCGACGCGGCGTGGCGCTGCGGTGCGCGGGTGCGTGCGTGCGTGCGTCGTGCGCGTGGTGCGTACGTGCGCGGGTGCGTGCGTGCGGTGCGTGCGTGCGTGCGTGCGTGCGTGCGTGCGTGCGCGCTGCGGGTGTTACATTTATATAAGTGAAACAAATAAATAATAGAACTAAAATCATATAATTTAAAATTTATTTTTATTCATTGTAATTTGACATTACTATCTCAAAACTATGTGACATAATAATAATATTATAATAATTATTAAATATCAAGTTGTCTATTTTTTTAAATATTGGTAATAACTTCTATGATAAGTTTGATGATTGACCATGGATGTTAGTTCGAATGTGATATCAAATATAGCGTCTAACGATAGCTCCTCGTGTAAGACGTTCTACGCGTATGCAATAAGGTTGTTACGTTTTCAGCACCAGAGGGCAGGCCGAGCTGTCCCCCATCATCCCATCAGTCTGTGTAGCTCAGAATCAGATGAATATTATGGGAACACACGTCGCCAAACAAGTGTTTGCATTCGCCCTGAAATGAAGTCTAGTCATTAGTCATTACTGCGTGAGTATGTAACCGCTGTATGTGTGTCATTAGTCATTACTGCGTGAGTATGTAACCGCTGTATGTAGTCATTAGTCATTACTGCGTGAGTATGTAATCGCTGTATGTGTGTCATGACATGTCTGACAATGTATTTCACTGATCACCCCCCCCCCGTTCATGACTCTCATCTAAAGCTGTGGACACACTACGCGATTTTCCATGCGATCGAGCCGGCCGGCCTCAGTCGGGCGACTCTGTGGACACACTACGGACTGAGTCGGGCGACTCTGTGGATTTCAGCACGCTGATTGGCTGATTAATTGTACAACGGCCACTCGATCGCGACCGGGCACACTACGCGAGTGTGCCGCGCGACTCAAATAATTATCAAACATGTTTGAATCGGGCGACACGGCCGGCCGACTCGAAAATCGAAGCGACTCACTGGACTACGCGATTTTTCATGCGATCGAGCCGACCCGCTCGGTCGGCCGGCTCGATCGCATGAAAAATCGCCTAGTGTGTCCACCCCTTAAGTTCATCCCTCTCTCTCTCTCAGTTATAAACTACACTCACGATAGTAAGATTTTGCTGATCTGTAACTGTTATAGTCAGTAACAACAAATATGTAATACTATTAACATATACACTAAAGAACATTGTATGTGATACTAGACGTCTTGACGTCGCGTCATAAAAGCCTGTAATTGATAGGAGTTTAGAACGTGTGCGAAATTAATTGTGTTTTTAGTTTCGTATTTCCCAAACATGACGTCACGAGACACTGCGCCAATCAAAAATGACTTTCTGGTCATGATGTTCTCACTCGGACGTTGACGTCACGGCGTTGACGTGACCGTAATGTGGCCTTTACGCTCGTGACGAAGGAATCGAGTGTATATTTCTGATATACTTACTCGCAGGTTGTTCCGGATGGACACCGTGTGTATGTACACGGGTTCCGGTTACATCGTGGCTTGGGACTGATCTTAGGTTCACACGTGTAACCACAGCAGTCGTCCTCTCTGTGAACCAAGTGAGCATTCATGCGTGTTACCAACAACTGCTTATATGCTGTCATGACTTTCAGATTCATTAAAGGCCAGCAAACGTTGGCTCTGTCTTGCTTGCTCCCTTATGTTTGAAACATCGCGGACAGCAGTAGAAGCTTTAGAATTACAGTCGATCTGACATGTCTGTGTTTAACCCTTTTAACTGCAGTGGCAGCCCATGTAGTCTAGTGCTATTATCCACATGCCAGTTCAACAAAGGGTGTTAAAACACAAAACATGGTCAGAGGTTCTTGAATGCTTGTTAGGGAACACATTTTCATATAGAAATGCCTTATAACGTACTTACGGGGTTGGTAGATTCGCGATCCTGATTACCTCTAATCTTTTTATTTCACTATTGAGCAGATAAGCAAAGGAAACCGTGTACATGTAGTAGTGTAATCAAAGACGTAATAGAATTTGTGTTCACTAAAGAAATATATTGCTTTTTACCAAACAAACGTGCCGCTCGTCAGTACTGTGCTTGTCTCGTTCAGGTCTCACCCAGTTTTATTTCCTCTAAAATGCGCCTTCTTAATCTTGGTATAATATGACTCTCTCGTTCAATCACAGAGCCCATGTTTCCCCACTTCTACTCTCACAATCGACAACACTCTCTCCCTGAGTCGAATATTTGCCGTCATGACATCGCACACTGTGCCGTGAACAATCTGTAACTAACATCCGTAACCTATCCGTATAGAACCCAACCTAACTATTCTCATCTGTATGTTAAAACACCCAACCTTCTCCTATGCTCAACCGAATCTATCTACGAGTTACCTAATTCAGATGAAACATGTGCAAAACACACGTTACAGTAGAGGAGTGTATGTGGAGATTTTGTATAGTTTCTATTATCAGTGATGTAGGTGATGTTAGGTGGTTATAATGGTCGCTAGGGTGGAGTCTACTCTCGTGACCTTGCTTATTTTAGCGAGAGTAAGTTTGATTTGTAGGCCACCGGTCGAGGAGTAGCATCGCGCAGATGGCGCTGCAACAGGCACCAACAAGAATATTACATCATACACAATCACTTATCATATAACGGGCCCCCTTCCACGGTCCCTTTCCCCAGTCCGTATTTCCGTTTATTATCATTCTTTCTCTGATCTATCCCGCTCAGACAGGCGAGGGATCTTTTCTTCGCCTTGTATGTGACGTTGTGACCGAGGTTGAAGTTCTTGCGGAAGATTAAAAAATAAATATATAGTTGCTCGGACTGGGACTCCGGGCGTTGGGTTGTGTATTTGACTGTCGGGCGGTTGTGCGCGGTGCTTTTTTTACGTGGTGGCCCTTGCCGTCATGTCTAACACTATGCTTGATATGCCATGCTAGGACATTTAACTATAGTACATTTGAAGTCCGACACGGACAGTGAGGATAGTTATACTTAGTTCTCTGGTTCGCTTATGACGTGTGGGTTTTCTTTGCGTGGCACTAAGAAACACCAAACAACGTTGGACGTTAGCAAACAGGTACTACAGCGGTCGTATGAATGCCGGTCTAGTTTCTACTGCCTGTATAATTCACTTTTTTCGAACATGTCGTTTCGGCGACACTATACATAGTGGCGTGTATGAATACATCTGAGTTAAGTAACTATATACAGTGCTACCTCGTTTATTCCGTCCACTTTTCCATTTCCGGATTATGCGTTTTTGGTTTCCGATATGCAATTCTATGGCTCAAACACAGAATTTCTAGTCAGCGACTTTCAGGAGGCCGGTGTTATGCTGGGATAACTGTTATTACTTCCGTTGCTATGATATTTTTGCTAACAACTCGCGTGTGTTTTGGGATGGTTGTGATATGAACTGGAAAATAAAATGAAATAAACAGAGAATGTGGAGCATTATTTTGAGGCATGGTATAGCATACGAGTGGAATGATGCATGATGCCATGATACGGATATCATAGTATTATGTGTTGTGGTTGCCGTGTGGTGTGGGCTATGTGTTTGTGTGTGTGGAGATGATTGTGCTGCGTGCGTGCGGCTCGACGTGGCGTGGTGCGTGCGTGCGTGCGGTGCGGGCGGTGCTGCGCGCGGTGTTTTCGCTGTGTGTGTGCGTGGCGTTCGTGCGGGTGTGCTGCAGCGCGGCGTGTGTGGCACTTACTTCTCCCCCTCTCCGCGATCGGCGGATGGCTGGGTAGTGTGTGTGCGTGCGGTTGTTGTGCGTGTACGTGTGCGTGGTGCGTTTGAGCTCGTTACCACCCGTGTGCGCGCGGGTTGCGTTGTTGTGCGTGGTGCGCGTGCGTGCGAGTGCATGCGCGCGCGCGTGTGTGCGTGTATATATATATATAATATATATTATATATATATAGTATATATATATATATATGAATATATAACTTACCCAGTACAACGAGTAGAGTGCATAGAGTGATGAGAAGGAGAGTTGGCTGCCTTCATGCTTGGAATGTAGATGATATCTCACCAGATGCAAGTCAGGTCTATCAGGATAGTCCGTCTCGTTGTCCACGTAAACGTATAGAACGGAGTTAGATTACGGGACTACCGTATGTACGTGCGGCTGGTGCGCTTGCTGTGTGTGTTGTGTGCCTGCGCGTTGCGGAGTGTACGAGCGGCGTTCGTGGAAGCACGCTGGTTGTTTATGATCTGGGTTCCACCCTCATATATATATATATATATATATATATATAGGTCGGGCTGTGACAGCTGTGAGTGGCTGACTGTGACATAGTTTACCCGCTGCGCACATCCCCTTCCCCCATCATCCTCACATCCTCGCAACATCGCCATATATAATCATATAGTTACTACACGGACGCGGGAACTTATCAAGTCTGTCGGGCATGTAATATATTAGATCATGTTTCATATAGAGAGCATGAATAGCAGTGTGTTGTCTTTGTTGTTGTTGTTGTTGTTGTTGTTGTTGGTGTTGTCAATGGCGGTCGTGTCGTTGTCGTCGTCGTTATCGTGTCAACGCCGCGGGCAACACTACAAACCAGCACATCCGCAAACGACAAACGCTGCGTATATAGTTGATGTGTCGTATATGCAGTCACGCGTCGCCGCAGAATTTCTGAGAAATAGCGGAGATTAAGCTCTGTATATATCTAATGTAAACGTCTATTTTATACGTTACATGAATTAGTCAGTGGAGCTAGACGGGTAGTTGTTTTAGCCATATTCCAGCTAGACAGTGTCGCTCTACCAGATGGGCGGCTACATTGATGTTATAGGGAGTTGGATAAGCAGGGTTAGGTTAGGCCGTTTCGAGAGTCCGTGTGAAATTGGGGTAGGACGTAGTCTCTGAGAACGGGTACATGTGGGCTCAGGATGTAGGGAGTTTTGGGTTGATATATAGAGAGAGAGATGTAAGAGGAGGGATGGGAGATTCGGGTGCGGGGCAGCGAGCTGAGCACACGCGCGTATGCGCGTGTGCGCGTTCTTTGTCTCTTTGTGCGATGTGACGACCCAGTGTATGCGTTATTAAAAGTTGTACAGTTTACCATACAAGTTTGGATCTGTTTCTACATCATTTCGACATGAACGCGCATTCCAACGTTACACTAATAGCTCTGTCTATAAGTTAGATAGGTGTGAGCACGTGAGGAGCACGTGATCGACATTCTGTGGTCGTCCCGGACAGAGACTACGGCGCTAGCATGCTGACACACACGCGCAGAAATTACCAGCATATTGTTGAATTCTTGGCAAATCGCGGAAGAAACGGAAGCTTTCTATGAAATTCCTGCGGCGGTAGGTGGGGTGGGGATTTATTAGTTACCTGTGGCAGTCAGGTTGTTACCTATGTTGTCTAGAACACGATGCAAGTGATTACGTTACATTTCCTAACCTTGACCTCAAGTCACAACGCTCTCTCAGGCAACCTTCCCGGGGAACATGGGCCTGAACCAATTTATACACGCTCGCACGCACGCACACACGCACGCACGCACACACACACACACACACACACACACCAACACACACACACACACACACACACACAACACACACACACACCACACCACACACACACACATAGAATATAATTATATATATTATATATATTATATATATACTATAATATGATATATATATGCATGCCGTGTGGTGGTGCGTGCGTGCGTGGTGTCAGTGCTGCGTGCGTGCGTGCGTGCGTGCCGTGCGTGCCTGTGCGTGCGCTAAACTCTTACTGCTTGTCATTGGTTTTGGCTTATTGATATAAGTAATTTATTATATCATTTGTTTTTGCTACTTAGATAATAACATTGTTATATGCTGTTTAGATAATACCGATTGTCTCCTACATTGCTATTAGCATCTAACTCCTTGCGTTTATCTTGCATGTGTATTCCTGGTCAGAGTCCATTGTCTTAATTGACGAGTGTAGATTAATTTTATACAAAAATCAAATTAAAAAACCGAAAAAATAGATACATCAAAGCTTTGTTTATTCCGTTCAAGAAAATTTGCAAGCTTAGAACTACAAAGACAAATTATCAAATTAATGTGGATGGCATGTTTAGTGAGAAGAGTTGGGAACTATACAATAGGCAGGCTTAGATAGCTTAGAAATGATTGTTATTGGTAGAGATTATCTATTAATGGACATTAAACATTTTGCCTCAGAAGACCGATTATAATCTGCAGTGGTACAATCAGCTGGTGCAGCATGAAGCGGAGTGGAGTATCAAAGCTCTTCTTTGATATATCTCTGCGCTCGCCCCACTCACTCATACCTCTAACAAATAAGCCTCACTCTGCAGAACAACCCTCATCCCCATACCCCACTACTTGTATACTTAATCATGATTAATTAAGCACTCAGCTGGGCGTAATCAGTAGCATTCTTCCAGAAGCCCGTATATCATATAAAGTTTTATGTTGTCCCACGACCGAGGATGGCAGGCCGATTCACCATGCCTCATCTTCTTCATTATGCCACGCCCGGTGATTGCCACATCTGAACCCTCAGCGGCCGTCCACGCATACCTGCCCCGGCAATTTTATCCGTCCTGATAAATAAATGTCGTACACATGTAAACAACGCTGCTACGACCAGTGAACATTACTCGCAGTATCCAATTTAGATATAGAACTGTAATTTACACCGTGAACCTTCAACAGTTATTGCGCTTATCTACAGTAATAATGTATATAATGCTGTGATCTATAGTACAAATGGAATGGTACCAAAATCTACGAATTTGCCTGACATTAAAGGACAACCATCCAGAACAACAACGCCTACCATCTGCAGCAAATCGCGAATTTCTATCGATTGAATCATTCGGCTGTCTATGTTTATGAAACGGCCTTCGTGACCCTTACGGACCTTGCGGACCTGGACGTCACGTAGCGGCATGAACTATCATCCCTTGAAAGATCTGTGTTTGTATTTAGTATGTGTGTAGTGGTATCCTTAGTCTACTTATTGATACGGCGTCGCCTGGTCCAACACCGTAAAAAAGCATGCGGTCTTTATGCTAGGCATGGAGGTTTAGGGTCACACGTGAC